TGATAAATTGGCAACTTCGGTTAAATCATTGTCAGAAGTGGTATTACAAAATCGAAGAGGATTAGACCTCCTATTCCTAAAAGAAGGAGGACTATGCGTAGCACTCCAAGAAGAATGTTGTTCATTTGTTGATCATACCGGGGTAGTTAAAGATTCCATGGCCGAACTTCGTAAAAGATTGGAACAACGAAAAAGGGATAGGGAAATAGGAAGATCCTGGTATGAGGGTTGGTTTAATGTATCACCATAGCTCACTACTTTGCTGTCTGCTCTGGCTGGACCTTTGATTACAATTGTTCTGGGGCTAATATTTGGACCATGTAAAATTAAATATTTATTACAACTGATAAAAAAGCGGTTTGACACCACAAAATTGCTAATCTTAACGCAAATGACTCCGCGGGGGGGGAAATAGAGAAATTGTAAATAGAGAGGGCTAAAGGACAAACATTCAATGATAGAAGAAAAGGGGGGAAATTGTCAAAGAGGAGGAATGTTTGTCCAGGGCTGATGGGCGGGGCAACGTGGTCGGTCTTGAGCCATCCTCAACTGTTGGAAACAGAACAAGTTTCTAAGTTGTGTTTCTGCAGAAACCAGGCAGTGCTAGGAACAAGCAACTGCTGCCAAGAGCTCAGTGCAGCTCTTCCCTCACCCTGCACCACGCATGACTCACAGCATTGGCTGTTTTCTCTCTCCAGGCAAAATCCACCCAGCAAGAATGAGGAATCACCAGCTAGCAGTTGGTGTTGCTGCTTCAGCCTCAGAAAGCCATCCTCTGGCAGCAAACGCCAACTGCAGCGCAATGCCAGGCAGTCCTCAGAAACAGCAGTGGTAGTCCTGGCAGGTAAGGGTGCAAATGCAGCTTCCAAATCCCTGCTTTTCAGGAACATAGAATTCAAGCTTGCTCTGCACTTCTATCTCCTTCTGGCATTCCAGCCCCTGCCTAACATCTTCAGTTCACCCCTGATCATGAACCACTGTCATAATTCAGCTTGTGAAAGTTTGACACTAACCCCTGTGTATCCTTTCTAGGTGAATCGAGCCCTTGCCAATCCAGAAGATCCAGGGCAAGTAGCGAGGATGCTCTCTGTGCTTCCATCAGTGGAGAGCTCATAGGAAGCAGAAATGGCTGCAACTCCAACAGCAGCCTTCCATCTAACAACAGTAACAACAGTGATGGAGAGAAGGAGCTCATTGAAGTTCATGCTCTCATTACTGGCTCTGCTGAAAATGCTGACCTGAGCCTGCAAGACACCACCGTGACCAACCTGGATTGTAATCCAGTGCCTTTGCTGTGCAGCCCATCCCAAGCACAGTGTGAGTGCCCCGACAGCAGCACCTCCGTGCAGGAGCAGGTCAGCGTCAGTGAGGAGGAGCAGAGCCTCTTGCAGGGGGACTTTCAGTCAGGCCTCCAGTCCCAGGCAACGGACAGCAGCACTGAGAGTCTGAGCCACTCTCTCCATGACAAGAAAGGATGAGTCCCATCGTCACCATGGACCTCTCACACCCTCCTGTGTTTTATACAATAATAAAAGCACACTCGTGCTCAACCAACGCCTTGACTGCTTCCAGAGTCTTCATTCACACGGACTGGGATGAATGCAGCACACAGCAAGGCACCTCAGCTTGCAATGCTGTGGCTGTGGGTTGCGTGCCGCAGAGCTCCGTGTTTGTTCCTGTTTTGTCTGGCTTTGGGATGTCTGCAGGGAGAGCTCTGCTACCATTTGGCATGGTAGCAAATACTCTCTAGCATCCTGGATGCTGCTCATGATACTCCCAAGCTTCCTGGCTGTGGCTTTCATGATGCTTTTATGGGCTTTTTGATGCATTTCCATGCCTTGGCTGTTGCTTAACACCTCTCTCATGTCCTTTCCTGGCTCCCACCTACGAGCTGGCCGTGCAGATCATCTCCAGACCTGTCATCATCACACTGCGGCAGGAGAAGCTCCCCCTGGCCAACGTCAGGCAGTACTGCTTGGTCTGCAGCTCAGTGGCCATTTCCCTTTTAGGCGGCTCCTGCAGAAGAATCAAGCAGCAGAAGAATATGCTCACCCTGCAGCACACAAGTGATACAAAAGCAGAAACAACCTGGGAATCTCTGGTCTGCAAGACATCACAGACACTCACTGACTGTGTCTGATGGTTCCCTCCCATCCTTGATTTCCTTCTCCCCTTCTCCACGTCGGATCCCACTGCTGAGCCATGATCAAGCTGCCCAGTGTGGCAGAGCATCATGCAGAGCCATGCTGGCACTTCCTCCCCTTCCTCTCCTGCAGCTCAGCGTGCAACC